GATGTATTCTTCCTCACAAAACCGCGATGAATTGAGCTGATGGGTGCTCAGAATCGTGAGTTTTTCCGGGAACAGATCCGTGTGCGGCCAGCTAGCTATGGCGCCGGCAGCGAGTCCGTCTCTTAGTTGACTGGACTACTACAATTCCCAATACATAATTATTGTTATACTAACAGTCTAAACAATAACTATAATTAATAATATGAGATGAGACAGAGACTAATATAAAGAAATATTTTTCACTTCCTTTAGCTTATAATGTACCATATAGTGCGAGTATCATCAGCGTTGTTCAGGGATTAGGAGGCTGGTCAGAGTGAGTGTACAGTTGGCCTCCAGGAGGAGAAAATACATCTCTCTTCAACTATTCTTTACGGGTTATTCATGCCCGTGCCAGCGCTTGGGTGGCTTAATCTTCATCAATCAATCAATCAGTGTGTGTCTGCAAGATCCAGCTATCAGCGCTTGCAACTTGACTTTCGAACCGGCGGTTGTCTAATGTAATGACTCATGACTATTCATTTCTCTATCATCTACAACTACTACTTATCATTCCCAGGATACAGCACACAACATTACCTACCAGGAAGGCAGTTACTGCTTAGTAAATAGAGGCAACAGATAATTGGAAACGGTGCCAAAATGTTTCTTTCTTGCCGTGTTAATTGAAGCTACGACTCTCAGTTGTGGACCGGCACGTAGCTCACTGTCTGTTGGTTGGCGGGTGTGTATGTTTGTGTGTATGTATGTATGTATATATACATATATATATATATATATATATATATATATATATATATATATATATATATATATATATATATATATATATATATATATATATATATATATATATATATATATATATATATATATATATATATATATATATATATATATATATATATATATATATATATATATATATATATATATATATATATATATATATATATATATATATATATATATATATATATATATATATATTGGTGTATACTGGCAGCAGGTTTTCTTTCAAACATGTTTCATTGATTTTTTTTTTATTTAAATAGTCTTTTACTATTCGTAATAGTAAAAGACTCAGATGAACTAATTGACCTAAAAAGACACCTAGAGAGAGAGTCAGTACTCCGATTTACACATGAAAATAGTGAAAATAACAGTCTGCCATTCTTGGATGTACTAATAACAAAAACAGGAACCTCTTTAAGCACCAACGTATATACCAAGCCCACCAACATAGGATTATGCCTGAACGGTAGAAGTGAGTGCCCCCAAAGATACAAAGCCAGTGTTCTCAATGCTTATATTCGTCGAGCGCTTACCCACTGCTCTGAATGGAGCAACGTGAGTAGAGAGTTTGAAAGAGTAACTCAGGTATTGGTGAACAACGGATATAGCAACGCGGAAATAAACGCTGCTATAAGAAGACACTTGGACCGTTGGTATAATTCAGAACCTAGAACAGAAACCACAACACCCCCAATAAAATTATATTACAAATCAACCATGCACAGTGAACATATAAAAGAGGAAAGAATAATGAAAGAAATAATCCGTAAAGGAGTAAAAAGCACTACTCCTAACAAAACATAAACCTGATAATATTCTACAAAACCAAGAAGACTTCCGAACTCCTTATCAAAAACAGCCCGAAGCCGACGGAGAACCCTCTACAGCAGTCAAGCGTTGTATACATGTACACTTGCCCCCACGAAGGATGTAACCTTCAATGTAAGTACATAGGTATGACGTCGACCAAGCTGACGAGGCGTTTGACATGCCATCTTCAATCTGGTGCCCCTAGGAATCACATGAGACAAGCCCATGACATTACTCTAAGAGAAATGTTGAACAAGAATACTTGCATAATAGACAAAACCCAAGATTCAAGAAGATTACAAATTCTTGAGGCAATTCACATAAGAATAGAGCGACCTACCATGAACACCCAAATCACGGAACTATTTACTCTACCCACCATGAGAGTAAGGACAAGACAAGAACATATCGATGCCAACACAGAAGACAATGTCCAACATAACAGGCCAATTACACTGGATTAATCTTTGTGTTTAGATAGGAGATGCCTCGTATGGGCCAATAAGCCTTCTGCAGCCCCTATGTTTATCCCTTATGTATCCCCCCATGTTTTTCACCTTCATTGTATTATCACCTGACCTAATGCGGGTATAAAATCAACTAGTATTGTAAGATCTGTTCACTTGAGAATGAACCATGGAGGTTCGAAACGTCGTGCAAATTATACAAATAAGTGTAATACACTCTATAGTAAATCACTTCTTTTCTTCACCTTAAAAGTACGAAAATGAGTTTTGGAGAACTCCTATTCCAATTAAGCCCTGATGCTAAGAAAATAGTTAGAGGGATAGAAGCCCTAAACCAGAAAATAATAAATACAGAATATGCGGTCATATTCAATGAAATATATATATATATATATATTATATATATATATATATATATATATATATATATATATATATATATATATATATATATATATATATATATATATATATATATATATATATATATATATATATATATATATATATATATATATATATATATATATATATATATATATATATATATATATATATATATATATTAGTAGCACTCTTTCTTGTAAACATATGTTATTAAATATGACCGAAAAAGTAAGATTAATAATTCTAACACGAATTTTCTCAATATTTCTTATGTTTCTTTTTACTGTCGAATTTAATTGAAAAATCAATTCTCCAAAATTCATTTTTATTTCTAGTCTGACACGACGCTTGAACGCGTTTCGTAATAACTTATTACATTTTTAAAGACTTTAGTTTACACACACAACAGTAACCTGAAAACACTAAACAGAGTTTTACTTATGCTAACACTAAACAGCTTATCCGTCTTATATACTCGCACTTGGGTGAGGTGATATGTTGCAACAGTTTTGGATGAAGTGAACCAACTTTTGACAAACACAAGACAGAACATGGAACAATGGGTATTCATTGGATATATGAGAGCATAAGAATGGAAGTAACTGCAAAGGGCCTATTGGTCCATACTTCCTCTTGATTCTTCTATATTGGTACAGAGTCTTGAAGTGGGTAGAATATAGTTGTGCATTAATTGCCTGTTGATTGCTGGTGTTGACTTTTTGATGTGTAGTGCCTCGCAGATGTCAAACCGCCTGCTATCGCTGTATCTATCGATGATTTCTGTGTTGTTTGTTAAGACTTCTCTGGTGATGGTCTGGTTGTGGGAAGAGATTATATGTTCCTTAATGGAGCCCTGTTGCTTATGCATTGTTAATCGCCTGGAAAGAGATGTTGTTGTCTTGCCTATATACTGAGTTCTTTGGGGCTTACAGTCCCCAAGTGGGTATTTGAAGGCATAGACGACGTTGGTCTCTCTAAGGCATTCTGCTTTGTGTCTGGAGAGTTTTTCATGAGTAGGTTGGCCAGTTTTTTTTTGGTTTGATAGTAAAATCGTCAATTATATCTTCTGATTTTTGTCTGTAGGGATAACGTTCCTATTAACAATATCTTTCAGGACCCTTTCCTCCGTTTTATGAGCTGTGGAAAACAAGTTCCTGTATAATAGTCTAATAGGGGTACAGGTGTTGTATTAGTTGACTCTTCAGAGGTTGCATGGCGTTTCACTTTCCATTTTATGATGTCTTCAACGAAACCATTGGAGAAGCCGTTGTTGACTAGGACCTGCCTTACCCTGCAGAGTTCTTCATCGACTTGCTTCCATCCTGAGCTGTTGCTGTGAGCACGGTCGACGTAAGCGTTGACAACACTTCTCTTGTACCTGTCTGGGCAGTCACTGTTGGCATTGAGGCACATTCCTATGTTTGTTTCCTTAGTGTAGACTGCAGTGTGGAAACCTCCGCTCCTTTCCATGACTGTTACATCTAGAAAGGGCAGCTTCTCATCCTTCTCCATCTCGTAAGTGAAACTCAACACAGAATTCTGCTTGAATGCCTCCTTCAGCTCCTGCAGACGTCTGACATCAGGTACCTGTGTAAAAATGTCAACATATCTGCAGTATATGGCAGGTTTCAAGTTCATGCCAACTAAGACCTTCTGTTCGATGATACCCATGTAGAAGTTCGCAAACAGGACACCTAGGGGGAGAACCCATGGAGACTCCTTCTACTTGCTTATACATGTGCCCATCAGGGCTCAAGAAGGGTGCCTCTTTAGTACAAGCTTGGAGTAGTTTCCTTAGAATGTTTTCTGGTATGTCAAGAGGAGTACAGGCTGGATCACGATACACTCTGTCCGCTATCATCCCGATTGTTTCATCCACAGGTACGTTGGTAAACAGTGATTCTACGTCCAACGAAGCTCTTATCCCTGTGGCCTGTGTTCCCCACAGTAAGTCAACAAATTCCTTTGGAGACTTCAGGCTGAAAGCACAAGGTACATAAGGAGTCAGCAAGCCGTTGAGTCGCTTCTCCAGTCTGTACGTGGTTGTGGGTATCTGGCTGATGATTGGCCGAAGTGGGTTTCCTGGCTTGTGTGTCTTGACATTTCCATACGCTTACCCAGGTTTGTATTCCCCAATAATCTTTGGCAGGTGGAGTCTGGATTTCTTGGCATTCACAGTTTCGATCAATCTGTTTACCTTTGTTTTCTATTCGGCTGTAGTGTCCTTTGTTATCCTTTGGAATTTAGTTTGGTCAGAGAGTATGAGGTTCATTTTCGCCAGATATTCGTCTTTTTTAAGAATGACATATATTGGCGACTTGTCACCTCTCCTGACGACTATCTCCTTGTTCTCACGAAGGCTCTTAGCTGCCGCTTTGAGCTCGGGGGACAGTATGGCGCTTCTGTAGCTGCCTCGAATCTCTCCTCCTTCTGCAATAAGTTCTGCTTGCAAGGTGTCTTTGGTGGTGACCTTCTTTTGTGTCTCGAGGTCACATTACAACTGCTCAAAGCTCATGGACACATTACAACTGCTCAAAGCTCATGGACACATTACAACTGCTCAAAGCTTATGGACACATTACAACTGCTCAAAGCTTACGGACACATTACAACTGCTCAAAGCTCATGGACACATTACAACTGCTCAAAGCTTACGGACACATTACAACTGCTCAAAGCTCATGGACACATTACAACTGCTCAAAGCTCATGGACACATTGCAAATGTTGAAATGTTACGGACACATTACAACTGCTCAAAGCTTATGGACACATTACAACTGCTCAAAGCTCATGGACACATTACAACTGCTCAAAGCTTACGGACACATTACAACTGCTCAAAGCTCATGGACACATTACAACTGCTCAAAGCTCATGGACACATTGCAAATGTTGAAATGTTACGGACACATTACAACTGCTCAAAGCTTACGGACACATTACAACTGCTCAAAGCTTACGGACACATTACAACTGCTCAAAGCTCATGGATACATTACAACTGCTCAAAGCTTACGGACACATTACAACTGCTCAAAGCTTACGGACACATTACAACTGCTCAAAGCTCATGGACACATTACAACTGCTCAAAGCTTACGGACACATTACAACTGCTCAAAGCTCATGGACACATTACAACTGCTCAAAGCTCATGGACACATTGCAAATGTTGAAATGTTACGGACACATTACAACTGCTCAAAGCTTATGGACACATTACAACTGCTCAAAGCTCATGGACACATTACAACTGCTCAAAGCTTACGGACACATTACAACTGCTCAAAGCTCATGGACACATTACAACTGCTCAAAGCTCATGGACACATTGCAAATGTTGAAATGTTACGGACACATTACAACTGCTCAAAGCTCATGAACACATTACAACTGCTCAAAGCTTACGGACACATTACAACTGCTCAAAGCTCATGGACACATTACAACTGCTCAAAGCTTACGGACACATTACAACTGCTCAAAGCTCATGGACACATTACAACTGCTCAAAACTTACGGACACATTACAACTGCTCAAAGCTCATGGACACATTACAACTGCTCAAAACTTACGGACACATTACAACTACTCAAAGCTCATAGACACATTACAACTGCTCAAAGGTCATGTACACATTACAACTGGAAAAAGCTCACAAGCACATTACAACTGCTCAAAGCTATAATGAACATATAGTGTACTTTAGAATTAGAGGACGAGGTTGCTAATATTGGATGTAGCTAGCTCTCTTGAAATTATGTGACGGAAGGAGAGGACTTCCGTTTAAGACTTGGTAAATTATTACCCAGTCTTAATACTCAATAACATATACTCTACCCTGTATAATAATACTGGGTATATAATTAATCAATCTTAATACTCTATAATATACTCTACACTGTATAATAATACTGGGTATAATAATACCCACTCCTAAACTTACAAAAATATATACGTTATGATATCCGTTTACTGGGTAACACACTGTAAAAAGAGAAGAGAGTAGAGATATATATATATAATGTTACATTAATACCATAATTAAAGCAATTTAAAAGAACGTTACCTCAAGCGGCCAGGAGACAGATTCGTCTGCACAGCAAGGAGCTCAGTCCGTAACTGAGAGTCGTGGCCTTGAGGTCCTTGTCTCTCCTGCGATAGAGAGTCGCCCTTTACTTTATACACACCATAATGACAAATATTGTCGTGGTTGTCCAACAGGAAGATCATGTTAACTCGCGAGCTGTGAATAATTTACAATATACTGGCAGCGAACAATGTGTAAACAATTATAACAGCGGCCTAGTGGTCTTCTCGCTGTCTTGGTAATTCATATGAGGTGTGAGTGAGGCGAGGAGATAAGGATGAGATTGGAGAAATGGATGAAGGTGGATGTAGATGAGGGTGTGACATGGATGAGCCTGCGAGACGAGAGTAAGAAAGGGATGAAAGGGTAATTGATGGAGAACACCATGAGGTGGTAGGTGAAGGGTGAAGCGGATGACAAAGGGTGAGGCAGAGGCCACAAGGGGTATACTGGATGACTAGGACGATACGGGGAGATGTGTGTCAAGTTACCAGTCTCCGTGGTGTAGTGGTAAGACACTCGCCTGGCGTTCCGCGAGCGCTTTGTCATGGGTTCGTATCCTGGCCGGGGAGGATTTACTGGGCGCAAATCCTTAACTGTAGCCTCTGTTTAACTCAACAGTAAAATGTGCACTTGGTTGTAAAAACGATTCTTCGCAGCGGGGATCGTATTCCAGGGACCTGCCCGAAACGCTTACGCGTACTAGTAGCTGTACAAGAATGTAACAACTCTTGTATATATCTCAAAAAAAAAAGTGCCACACGAAGATTTGACTGGTTTCCTTTATACTATAGGCTTCCTTCATAATATAAGCTATCTTTTTACCATAAGTTTCCTTTATACAATATGAGTATAACTGACTCCAACTATTGTGTAAAATCAAGTGACAACAGCCTCCTGTTGGGTGAAGCCTACTGCTCATTCCTTCCTTTCCCTCTCCCTCCGGGAGATGATATGGCAAGGGGCAAAATTTACTGAGACTTTAGCTACAGATCAAAAGCACTTTCGTTAATGCAAATAATTCAGTTATATCTAATAACATCGAATAAACAGGAATATCTTAACAGAGAGCCTGCGGGTGCTGTGGCGAGAAACATGAGTGCTGTGGCGAGACACATGAGTGCTGTGGCGAGACACATGAGTGCTGTGGCGAGACACATGAGTGCTGTGGCGAGACACATGAGTGCTGTGGCGAGACACATGAGTGCTGTGGCGAGACACATGAGTGCTGTGGCGAGACACATGAGTGCTGTGGCGAGACACATGAGTGCTGTGGCGAGACACATGAGTGCTGTGGCAAGACACATGAGTGCTGTGGCGTGACACATGAGTGCTGTGGCGTGACAGGAGTGGAGGACACCTGATCCTCACTATGGTCAGGTGGCCACTGATAACTCCGCAAGATCATCACATCTAGACCAAAGAGTCCTCAGAGACCTCTTACAATATCAACACTGTACAAGTCTTCTTCACCCATACGAAGCCGCTTCTAATTTAAATCCATTCAAACCCACTCATATATTTCTTACGCCCGAAATAATTCCGCGATCCAACGTCTATTGTGCAACACAATATTTGATTTTGCATAAATTAACAACCCTGTTTCCAAACCAGCATTTACAGGAAATATTTTAAACTAAACTTGTCCAGTTAGTATCCAATGTCTCGAGTTCTGTTTTGTGGTGATGTATTGAAAACCCTGTTTACCGATTTTTTATTGCATTTTATATATTTATACACTTTAATCATATCACCACTTTATCATCGTCTTATTGGAGAATATTAATTAAGTAATTGGGAAAAGTAATTAATTAAGAAAATGGGAAATTTCGTGTTCCCTTGCAGTACGATTGCCAAAAACAGTGATAGTCCATAACATGACTTCTAGCCAAGTTCTGCTGGAGCACTGCCATTCAGATTTATATATATGTTAATTTATATATTTCGATAGCAATTGGTATGATGTTAAGTGGACTGTATTTCTGCAATAATCTCACAAATCGATCCTTACACATTAGGGGGGTTTATATTAAATTTATATATATGCAGCCAATCAAACTACAGTATTAACTACATATATTAGTAAATAAATTGGAGGTGCCTTATCTTATTGTACAGCAGGCTTAGTCCACCAGGTATAACTGGGATGTAGACACCAAATTATCCTCGTGTGAGGCTAGCTTCCATCACCCAAGTAACTGATGTACCAAGTCTTGCTTCCTCTTCTTGTTCCTGTCAAAGGGCACTAGCTATAAAGCCGGAATCCTAATATATGACAGCTATATCAGAGAAAACACTGTATATTAAATAATAAGGACCAAGGCTTAATTACCTTTATTAAGAGGCTGGTTCGCGTCCTAACCGGTTCGCCCTTATCTACCTAACATTAACTGGCCAGAAATGATTAGATAAACGGGTTTCGGTAGAACACTTCCCTTGTTTATGTTGACAGCGTGTTGATGATGGTAGAACACTTTGATCTCCATAACACTTCGTCCAAGAGAAATTATAGGAGCTGAATTTGCTCCCCTGCGCCTCTGGTCTTCACAAACAATGGCTGACCACTCCCTCACCACTGACGCCTTGGCTCTCCTTGTCCAATGTCAATAAGTGATAGAAGGGTCACATTTACTCTATTTTGATACTGATAATTAAGTTAATTCAAATGAGATGTTTTTATGATATTAAAAGTCCAAAGACTAATGTATTTAAGAATAATTCCCAACAGAATAGCTGGTGAATTTATAGTACTATGTGGCAATGATATCCCGTTTTCTATTGACGGAAAATTCCACTACAAGCTACATTTTCTAAGGTTAACTTGTGTATACAACACAGCAGCAATATTATCTGCATATTGCATGTAATATTATTAAATGGTGTCGGATTTTCCGACATAATTTCCCAGGGGGGTGCTCACGGGTCGAAGTCCTATTTAGAACAGATGAACACCGATACTCCTCCTTCGAATTATTAGATTAATTTGATGTTAGTAGTTAGTAATCACACATTTGTGCGTCTGTTCGTACATAACGGATGTCCCGTGCTCGAGTTGCAGGGGTTAGAAGTCTAATGCGATTTCATTTCCCTGTTAACTCTTGAAAGGCTAAAATTATAACCTAAATACATATTATTTAACCTAGAGGACTAAATGTGATCAAGTACTACAGTCAAGTATGATTCAGGGACTGCAGTGAGATCAGTTCCATTAGATATAGCTAGAAGCTTGTTCAGGTAACTTGTCACTGATATATATACACTGAGGCCCATGGAATTTATCTTGATTAAATAATAAATGAATCAGAATCAGTCGTCAGATTTATTGGGGGTTTAATTTAGTTAGTTGATTCAGAGGATTGAATAGTCCATCATTAAAGTCAAGTATGGTTCTGAGACTGCAGTGGGTTCAGTGACATTGGTCGCAGTGACTTGTAGCTGTTTAGGCTACTGTTCACTGATTTGCCACTGAGGCCTCATGAACTCATCTTCAGCTTTAAATGATGATATTAACATCAACCTCTGTTGCTATAGTCAGCTGTAATCTCCTTAGTATAATGCTACTGGAGAAATATAATCAGCTGACAAATTTAGATTTCTACTGGTATTGTTTATCTGCAGGCATAGGTCTCCTCAGGCTTAATACTGGGCCTGAGAGTAATTTGCCTCCTGCAGAATTTAGCATGGTTATGCCCTGATATTTAGTAGGGCTACCGATGAATCGATGGTAGTAGTCTGTACCTACAAGGATACCGAAGTCGGTGAGGTGATCAGACTTAATATTATCTGCCAATTTTATTCCTCTATTTCTCAGGAATTTGGCTGTTGCTCTCAGACCTTGTACTTGTAGGTCTGCTGGTATTTTGTCCACCACAATGGCTTGTACTTGACAGACGTACCTGCCTAAACGTACTGATGGTTGTACCACCTGGTAGACTTGAGGTCCTGTATCTGTTAGAAACCCTGAGATGTTGATTGTCGTCTGGGCTACAGGCCTTAATTGTAGTTCATCTGCCAACCTTTTAGTGACATATGTTCTCTGGGACCCTTGGTCAAACAACCCACGGGTATGGACCTTGGCCCTCTTATTCTGGATGGTAATTTGGGCAGTAGGCAAAGTCGCATTACTTTTGGACTCTGCCGATTGGACACTAATTTTCTCTCGCACCTTGCAAAACTGTACTGTGGTGGGAATGCTATCTTCCACCTTGGGTCTTGAATACGTTAATTTCGTATGTTTGCACAGTGCTGCATGGTGCCTACCTCTTCTACACCTGTTGCAGGTGTTGAATTGGGTATCACAATAGTCTATGTTGTGTGACTTGAGACACCTTGAACATCTCCCTAATTCCTGGAGTCGCTTAATACGAGTGTCTCTGTCTGGATAATTAGCACAACGGTATGTTGAATGTTTCTTTTTGCAGAACATACATGTCCCCCAGCCTACTGCACGTTTGGAAGTTACCAGTTTGGGTGAACTAGTAACAGTAGGCTTGGAGGATTCTGCTGCATTGTCAG